CGCGGGGCCGGGCCGGGGAGGGCGGGCTCCCCCAATGGGACTCGAGAGCGGGTTCTTTGCGTACCTTTCTTTGTCATCTTTACTAACAGGTGCGTCTCGTTTATCTACATCTCTATCTCTGTCATGAGCTGCAGCGGACGCGCTACGCTCCAGCTCCCCTGGCTTCAGCCAGGGCGGAGGGGTCGGGAACGACGGAGGCGTTCGGTGCAGCCGGTTCCAGGGCTCGTGAGGATTGCTAAAGTTCTGCACACTGGGGCCATCCTTGTGGCCGAACATTGAGTTGGGTGCTGAAATGGTGAAGTGGAGAACAAAAAGGTTTAAGAGAAATTATATATAATCTGCTGTAATGAAGGTACTTACCAAAAAACTTTAAACAGCATTCAGAGTTAAAATGAATACATATTATTGGGAGCTGGAAAAGGAAAGGAGATTAACAAATTCATTAGAGGAACTCGTCCTACACTGGAGAGGTAAGCTCACAGCTTTTTTTTTTTTTTAAACCAAAGGCAAAGGGGTGGGAGGGGGAGATTAAAAAAGAAAGACCCAAACAGGTATCAGGAGCGCCCAATCACACATATCTGGTGCATGCAGAAGGCCCCAGCATGCACGGGGGTGTATCTGGATGGCGTGACTTAGATTAATAGCGCTCAGTTCAGGGGAGAATTCGTGGTTGTCCTCTGCCCGCCGCAGCCCTGCTAACACGACTGTCCTCTGTCCACAACCTCAGCAACCAGAGCAAGTGTCAGCAGAGACCAGACAGGGGCTAAATGGATCTAAGTGGACGGCGGGGCCCCCACACTAGATGGAACTGCGATGGTTGCTGAGAGCTGCACTGTACGTCTCCCGTATCCGGAGAGGATGACATGTGGACAGCACAAGGGAAGACAAGCTGCCGTTCAGTGACTAAGGGACGCTTAGGACAGGGGCAGGAGGTGCGAGCCTCTTCCTGTGGAGAGACTTTAGTAGTGGACCCACACGGTCCTCCCAGGTCATGCAGCGCAAAGTGCCACCAACTCCTGACTCTCCTGAGTCTGGAGTAGTTTTCCCGCTATTCTTCAGTGCGTTTTCTCACTCCCACTAAAGCCAGATGAAATTTTAATAAGCTGTCTTCCCTGCTAACGGGAGCTGTGGCTGAAGTCTGGGATGCAGTTCGGAGCAAACTATGAACTTCAGCAAACTTTCTGGAGGTCAATCGACTGCATTACCTTTCCTGACCCTCCGTAACATTCACTAACGGGGCTACCCTGGAAATGTGGGTTCAGACCTAACTCCACTGGTTAGGCCAGGTTTTGCAATGATATAACCTAAATTTGTTTCCAAAGAGCATGGTTTCCTTTCATCCAGAAAGGTCTCAAGCCACAGACAGATCAGAGGAGATAAAGAGTTAAACGCCGATTTTAAAAAGTTAGAGGTACTCACTAACTGAAGGATTTCCAAGTCCCCCGAAGGCATTGCCACCGACTGCTGCCAGGCCACTGAACGTAGTCGGCCGATTAAAAGGCTCTGCAAACAAGATTGGGAAGATGGACATGGCTGCAAGATCTCCTGAGTGAGAAGGTAAGAGCATCCTGGGAGCCCCGCCCCGTCTGTACTCAGACCCGACCTGTCCCACTTCTCCTACAGATTACACAAAGGGTTTTCCCTGCACTTGGGTTTGGGGACTGGGTTAGCGAAGTATCTGTGAGAGCTATTTGCCGGAACTGTGCATTTTGCCCCATTTCTCTCTTCTCGAGCCACACTCTGCTAGATGCCTTCCCGCCTATCTCCCCTCTGCTGAGATGTGCCCTGGAGGCTCGAGTGGAACAGAAGTAAGATGGCATCTTAAGTAAATCAATAAAATTCTGAAAGCAAACGAATATTTACTCTGTCGCTGGGGCATACCGTGGCCTGCATCTGCTTGTACACTTGTGGAGCATATCAAATAAATTAAAGCCACAAAAAAGCACCTTTACTAGGAAGAGACGTCTTAATAGGGCTGTGAAATGTGAAGTGACAAAAAAAATCACAGATGCCACCTCTTCATAATAACATCTTGCCTTTCTTTACACCTCCAGGGGTGCTCTTATATGGGGCAAGAGTTCACCATCTTCTCCAGTGGGCAGGAACAGCCTACTGTAAATGTGGATTCTCCGAGGTGCCAAGGCATGGCTTTCACTCAGGAACCACCAGTAACTCCACGAAGAACCGTGACTGTGCACAGATCTACTCTAAGAACGTGGGAGAAGAGGTGATGAGATCCTGGAGACGGATGGCATGCATTCAGACTTCTCCAAGAACAGCGCCATCTCCTCAAGCAGTAAGTGAGGGGTCTAGGACAACTTGCCAGGAAACGTGGCAGGAACGCAGTGACCAAAGGTTTTCTGAGACACACACACCCTTGCCCGTCACTGATGGGCGACTCACCTAGGTGAGCGGCAGGGTTAAGGAAGTTGCTGTGATGAGGAGGTGGCCCAAAAGGGGTCCCAGTTGGGTGTGCAGCACCTGTTAGGTCAAATATAATGGAATTAGATTTTATGGAAAGCCAGCCTTGGGTTCAACCCTGCAGCTAGCTCCTGGTCACCCCAGGACCCTGTGAGAGAATATGTTACAGCAAAAACATGATTTAAGTCCACCCAGCCACACTCCAGGGAAAGAGAAATGTGCTTGCTGGACAGCAGAGATTAATCAGCCTCTCCCGGCTGGGCTGGCCAGCCCTTGTTAAAGACACTGACACACACAACCTAAAAGGCGAACTTCTGGCTCTGGACTATTTCTGCAGAGACATCCCAGGAGGCAAGACTTTCAATCTAAGAAACACTTCATAATCTGGGCGTGGGAGTGGCTGTCCCGAAGCTGAGTACCTGGGCTGCACTGCTTGGCCCTTTGCAGAATCTCTCTTCCTGAAAATGTGTTAGCTGTCATGCCCCTGCACTGAAGGAGAACCTCACTGTGCGTTACATCAGGGTGTGGGACATGGAGTCCTCCAACGTCTCTCAACCTTCAGGGCCAGGACGAGCTAGTTTCTGCACGTCTTTGGACACAGATAGTCTCATAACCGACTCTGTTAGACCTTACTTTGCCCGCCAGGGAACGCAGGTCTGACTCATGCTCTTCTCCTATGGTTTTCCGTTTCTCCACATTTTCTCCTCTAGTTTATGTTTTGCTTTGAGCAATATGTATTTCCTTAGGATGTCTCAAGTCCTTTTCTTAAAGGAAGAGAGACACAGAGGGTGCACATGTGGCTTAGGGAAGGATGCTAGTTCTAAATTTCTAAAAGCCTAGGGCATCCAACTGGCTTATTAACATGCAGCCAATGCCTGAGGAGGCAAGTTCTCTGGGAGGCAGGCTTGGCTCCAGACAAGACATAAGCCTAGGTTATCTGAAGAAGCAGCCCTGGTTTACTTACTAGTGCTCAACAGCAAGGTGGAAATGGCTGAGTTTAACAAGGATGTGTCAATTATACATATCAGTTTAAAGTTTCACTAAATAACCATTTGAGGCAAAATCCAACATTGCTTATACTGGAAAAGATTACCTTCCAGAATGGAAGTATAAGCAGGGCCTGAGTGGATTTAGTAATGACTATTCCAACAATCGCTTGCACTTTGACTACACGCATACGCGTGATAGTTTTATATACGCATATATATAGTTCCTATAAACAAGTATACATTCCTTCAGGAACACAGATTAAGTGGAGGAGGCTGCTCCTCACAACACCCTGTGAACCCAGTTTGTGTTCTGGATTTCTGTCCCCTAGCCTGGAAGGGCCTTGCGGGCCTGGGGTGTACACGGGAGATCAGAGCCACGGCAGCTCAGCGTCGGGAGGCAGCCCCTGAGGAGTTACCTGCTCAGCCCTGGACGATGACTTATCCTCCACCCAGAAAGTGCACAAACGAGACCCCCCGCGTCCTCAGAGCAAAGACAGCCCCGGACAGTCTTAGGCGTGAACAGAGTTGCTAGCTAAATAAAACTCCGGCTGCATACAGTCGGTGCGGCACAAGCTGATTAATGCGTCAGTGAAGATCGGCCCTCGCTCGGCCCAGGGCCCCAGAGGCGCCTCGTAGCTTCAAGAATTATTGAAGCAAAAGAAGCCAGTTCATCTGCTTGGCTCAGATGGAAGCCAAGGGGAAATCTCTTTCTCTCCAAAAATTGTTCTTAATGTAGCCCTGATTCAGAGCCTAGGTGCCATGGTAACAAAGCCTTCAAATGTGTCCCGGGATGGAACAGAGGAAAACCTGAGACCTTAGCAGGGTGATTCACATGCTCTGGCAACAATGCCCATTAAAATGATGATTTCTTGTAATGTGGGTGTTTCTTTCTTCCTGAACAGAAGAGCGTTAGGTCCACCAAACATGAGTCTTGGATAAAAGCCTGGGAAGGCAGCAGGCAGGATGGATGTGAACCTTGTTCGCTAAGGACAAGAAACAGGGAGCTCCCTGAATATTTACGCCCAGAAGGATACATTCCAGTTCACACAGTGGGAATGAAGTGATGGAGCTCGGTGGTGGCATTTACGAGAATCACCCAGGGAAGCCCTGTGCCAGGCCCGTGCGATGAAGAGACCTTTAGAAAGACCGAAGGTAAGGGGCCTTTGACACCAGTAGGGTTGCTCTTGTCAGCCTCACACTCCCGACAGCCCCGGCCCTATCTGCACTGGAACAGGACTGGGCAGTGATCTGATGCTGCGATGCTCAGAGGCCCGCTTCGGCATGCACAAGAGGCACTTGGGAGAGGGTATTCTCGGAGGTTAATGAATAGATCCCATGGGGGTTTTACATGCTGTCCCCTACATTTCCTGTATCATTACAAGCAACTGACTGATTCAGCCTCCTCGTCACAGAGCACACCACTGGAAACTGTCTTAATTGTGTTTCTTTACCCTCAAGCACAGCATGACTGAGCGATGCGGTGCGAAACCGCTGAGTGCTGCTGAGGGCAGCCGTGGCCTTACACGATTCCGGGCATTGTTTCCTTCCAATTCGCCCTTGCAAGCTTTCTGATCTTTCTCAATAGCGTTTGACATGCTGTGAGTTATAGTGGTTTAATATAGAAGCAAATAAGGAGCCGGGGCGATATGCTATGCGTCCCGAAGGGAGAGACGGCCTTTTTTTCCTTCGTTAACAAAAGAGGCCACATCAATGGAGAAGGTCCGTCTCCCAAGTGTGCCGAGATGCTGCCTTGCAAACTGGCGTGAAGTGTAGCTTTTAGGGGCGTGGTGGAGCGGCAGCCCAGAGCACAGACAACTTCTTCAGCTACCTGAGAACTACGTTTCTGCGCTCTCCCCTGCCCCCCTGAACTCACCAGCGGCAGAGAACAAAGTTGAAGGCCGTGCCAGGTCGTGGGGGTGGTGGATGGCTCCAAAGAGGCTGGGGCCTGGAGGCCGGCTCAGGAACTCAGGCTTCAGTCCAAAGTCCAGCTTGTGTGGGTCTGACTGCATCTGTTTCTATAGCAGCAAGAGGGGAAGGAGGGGGTGGGAACCCCAAGAGAAACAGCAGGGAAGAAAAGAGATTAGACTGAGTGTCAGCCTTGCGAATGGTGCACTTGGGTTCCGAGCCCCAGTCAGGTTCAAGTCTGCATAAGCTGTGGGAACACAGCCACCCACAGAGCATTTAACCCTCAAATGCCCTTAAGAGCAGGCCCACCTGAGAGAGGTGGGCAGTGCCTGCTACTCACACCAGACACGGCAAGGGGCAGAACCCGGGCTCAGCCTTTGCGGTTATATGGTTTCAGGAACAGGACCGTATCCCTATTTACTGAAACCACCGCTGTTGTGAAGTAGTTTATGATTCTCTGCAAAGGTTTATTTTAGCAAGTTTTTAAATGGTAGTATTTTAAAGCTCATTTTATTAGGAATTCTGCATGAATAATCTGCTGTGTAAATTAATTGTTTAATGACTCTTCACCGTGGTCTAATAGATCGCAGTACATTAGTAGCTGAAAGTTATGAAGAAACATTTGCATGCCTACAAGCTAATTTTCCAATGATCGTTGTTACATATTTTTAAAGAAACAAACAGAAACAAAGTAGGGATATTAATTTAACTAATAGGGGCTTTCACTGTGCCTGCTACCCCAATTCCCTGAGGAAGAGGGCGGCTCAGACCAGTGAACCATTGAGAACCTCCCTTCCTTTGCAGGCCTTGCCGTCACCTGCAGTCTCTCTAGCTCCTCTCGTTCATCCATCCACCTTGTCTGTCAGCTCACCTTCCTCCTGATTCCTTACCCTGGCCTCCTTCACAGAGCACGGTTTCCCAGTTGCCCCTCCTTGATTCTCAGCAGCCTCCTCTGCATGGGTGTCACCTCTCCCCACCTCCCACCTGCTGGGGTCTGAGGCTCCAAGGATTCCCACGTATCACCTCCTCTTATGCTCTCCAGTCTCCCACTCCTCCACAGCGCTTCACTGGTTTCTCACCCTCACCCTTCCCATCCCTCAGACTCATGGATGCTCTCAGTCTGGCCCTACTCTGCCTCAAACTCCCACAGGTTCTACTATAAACCCATCACTGCCCTGTGGTACAACATGACAGCAGCAAGGAGACGTCCGATCTAGCTCGTGCAAGAATCGAGAGACCAGAGGGGTTTGCCATCCCCTCCTGGCTGAAGGCTGCAATCCCACTCATCCATCCAGTCCAGTTAAAATGAAACCACAAGCTGGTGGCAGCACCCACTGGACACAGGCGGCATGTTCACCATTTTTCCCGCACACACTGGTCCTCACGACTTGAAATGACCAACCAGGCACCGGGACAGATGAGTGCCCCCTGAGCCTGCGGCGTAAGACCCCTGTAGACAGTGGGCTCTCCCAAGAAATACTTGGTGGGTGACTAACAGAATGAGTAAATAAACATTAGGGAGAAAGGAGCCCATGCAATTTCTGCTCCAGCCTCTAAGGAATTCGCTCATGCAAGTCACACTATCATGTAACAGCCAACCCCCAACACAGAGCTTCTAGTCCACTATGAACCTATAAACATCTTCTGAGTGCCTCCTTTAATTTGGTTGCCAAATTATTTAGTGCTAATGCAGCACGGTACACGGCAGCACAGGTCCATTAACCACAACTTAGGTCCATGGAGCAAAACGGAGCTTGAGGATTACAGAGAGCCTGCTGGAGAGGGAAGACCACAGCTAGCTCACGTGCGAGAGGTCTCCCTGACGGAACGGGGATAATGGGAGTTGTAGTCGCTGGGGACGCCTGCATGGAAAGGAAGTGGCTGAAGTGGCTCCCATGACAGCCTTCTTCACTTTTAACCAAAGGAGTTACAGAGAGGACGTGCTTCCCCTACCGTTCTGCTCACCACGTCACCCAGAACAAAAGTGAATTAAACTGAGCATCAGAATCTCGTTAGCTCCTCACAGCACACGCGTTTTCTAACAAAGCGAAACCATACGGTTTCTAATTAAACCTCACGTAACAGTAAACTAAAAGTGAGCAGCGCTCACTGATGGGCTACGAGAAAGAGCAGGTACTTGGCACCAAGGCACGATACCTTCGTGGCCTCTTTTTTGAAGGTGGCTTTTTAAGAGTTGTTTAACCATTAAAAAAAAAATCAGGATGACCAACTCCTGTTCTTGCTTGTTGCCTTTTTACTATTCTCATGATGCCCCCCAAATGCCGTTAGGGCTGAAGCTTGTTCATGAAAAAAATGGATTAACTGAAGCTTATTGGAATGCCTTGATTGGTGGTTTTCTCCCACTGTTCCAGGTATTGTTGCACATACTGCAAACACCCAGACTGTGAAATCGGGGCTTGTCGGTCACTTTGGTCCCTAAGTCAACCAGTGATGCTGCATCTGGTCATCGGCAGAAGTTCTGGATCTTGTCCCTATTTCATCATAAAGGCCTGGTAAAGCGTGGAGTGTATTTATCTCTATGACGACAATACGGACAAGAGAGAAAAATCACCCTCGGACAGGTAACTGGCAAGTGCTGGCTGTGGTCTGACCTCTGGCCCCGGCCATCAGGAGGACGGGTGAAGGTGTGGGTAGGTCACTGCAGACCAAGTACTGCTTCAGGAAGAGTAATTTTTAGTAATATGAACGGCTAATGGAAGGAAGCATCACATGGGGCATAAGGTATCATTTTTTTCCAAAGGCATAAACTGAAAATGCACCAATTCTTACAGAAAACTTTCCTGTACAGCTCTTCCCAGATGCTAAGTATTTTCCATAGTAATACTTGGCCACTATAATTAGGCTCCCCAAACCTTTATTTTAGAATTAAATCTATATTTAAGCTCTTTGGATCAATAAGATGACAAATTCATTAAAAAAAAAACAAGGAAATAAAAACCAACAGGATGTTACCAGTTTGCTTCTGTTTTTGCCATCTTGCTGGTGGTTTCTCTAAATGAACAGTAAGATTTCCGAATAGCTTTTCCAAGAGAGACTTGATCCGGCCCGTCTGCGGGTCTTTAGGGTCTGTGTAAATGCTTCCTTAATCCTCACACACCTGCAGACCCCCCCACCCCCCCACCCCTGGCCAAGAGCAGAAAGCAAGACTGACCTTGACTTTCTGTTGGTGGTGGTAGATCTGCCAGGCGATGTGGACATGCATCGCGCACCACTTCCCTGGCTTCTGGAACAAGAAGGGCAGCGAGGTCAGGAGGAGGACTTCAGAGACAACCACCTTCAACTTCCCCAAAGCTTTTGGGAGATTCTGGCTGCAGAGGCTTTTTTTTTTCATGAAACAAGAGTGCTCTGTACCCTCCAAGTGCCTCCTCTCAGCTGCAATCTGCTGCCCAGGCCGGGGTGGGGAGCCCCAGCGGGCCCCACTCTCCTCGGAAAACCAGATTGGACGAGGCCCTCCTGGTTACCAAGGATGACATGGCATAGCCCGAGCCCCACTCTGTGTCTCTGCTCTCTCTTCTGGCGCCAGCTGGCAGGCCCGCGAGAGCATGAGGCCCTGCTGAACAAACGTGGCCAGGCTATAATGCAGATCGGCTGTTCAGAAGAGCTCATTAGTGTCTGTGAACTAGTCGAAGAACAAGAAAGGGGAAAGACCCTGCATCATCTCCCCCCAGCACTGGTTTTACAAAGAAATCCACCACATTTTTACTGAGGCCCAGTTCCCACAAGTGCTTCGCTCAGAGTCAGCTTGCCCAAGCACGTCGGTGGGCAGCGTTCAGTTCTGAGTGAAAAGAGAGAACCAGAAGCGGGCTCTGCAGAGGGCAAGTGTCCGCCCCACCCTCCGGGGGGGCTGTCGCCCCTGTCTCTCAAATTAGCTCCCATCCTGCTTGCTAAGCTGGGGAGTAACTGGGAGCTCTGCCTCACCACCTGGAGGGCAGAGGCCACCTCTTCCCACTACATTTGTATTCTGGCTACATAATCTGTAATCCACCCATAAGCTCCGAACATGTGCTTGGGAACTGCAGGGTCAATGAGGAGAAACACTGGCCCAGTTCCTCCACCGGCAAAGGACGGACACTTCCCCTTTCTATATTGAGGAGCTGTTTCTGAAATATATTCTTAAGCCCAAGTTTGGGGTCAGTCTTCTTGTAATGAAATTATGGGTCGTTTGAATTCACCTAAGTGATGACACAATCCTTTTTTTCCCTTTGGAGACAAATGAATTATCTGATTATATGCACAGAAAGTTAAAGAGAGCAGGGTGTCTATTATCCCTGCATCTCCCATCCAACACCCATCACCCTCAACCCCACACCAAGTCAAGGCAGCGTTTCTTCAGAGCTCATCTGCTGGCCCCTCTCCAGGCCTCTCAGGAGGTTAACAACCCAGTGCTTCTTCAGCCTTTTTCTGCACCAGAGAGAAAGGTCGAATGGCGGTGACAAGTCAACATCACTTGGTGCAGAAAGAGGCAGCCACCAGCCAAGCTACACAGACCCGGAGATGTGTATTCTCGGTGCAAGAGAAACCCTGAGTTCAGCCTACAGCTTAAGCCTTTCCCTTAAGTTCCCACTCGTCAAACCTTTTGCCAGAACTAACAAGAGGCTCTGACGCAGTTGGATTTTCTGTTCGCCTTACCTCGATGGCCTGGCTTCCCCAACACTCCAAGAAAAACAGTTTAGGCCCTTTTCCGTCACACTCTCTGACAAACCCAATCACTGTCTTTCCAACATTTTATTCCAGCATTTCTATGGCTTGTTTCCTTGTAATGGATTTGTATTTTTAACCCTCAGGGAGTCAAACGGGGGTTGCAAAACAGTTCTAGAAGACGCTTTCTTACCCTTAACATAGGTCTGAAAGGATCTGTCAACTGTGAAGAGAAAATGACAACTTGGTTACATGCCTGTCACTCAAACAATTGCTCTAATTAACAAATTTGTAGTGCTTCATTAGGAGGGGAAATTAAAATGTTAGAATTTTACTTTTAAATGAAGCCCTTTTAGAGAATAATTAACCCATTTTCACACCATCAAAAGTGCCAAGCCTCCCCTCTCCAACTCCACAAGCCCTGGCACACCCACGCCGACAAGCCCCCGGACAAGTTTCATCAACACCCATTTGCCCTCTGGCAACGTGATTTGCTCACGTTACACATCTGAGGAGCCGCACTGTCTGGAGCGGCCCTTCCAGACCTCACCGAGTGGGTCTAACAAGACGGCCTCAGACCACAGACTTGAAAGGCTGGATACGAATGAGTATCTGGGGAGAAGTATCCTTCCCAGTCGTACAACAGAAATAGGCTATCTTTTGGGATTTACAGATACCAACTACTATATATAAAATATATAAACAACACAGTCCTACTGTATAGCACAGGGAACTACATTCAGTATTTTGTAATAGCCTATAATGAAAAATAGGAAAAGGAGACAATGAATTATCTGGTTATATCTGAATTATCTGCACATATATATGTATAACTGAATCACGATGCTGTACACCAGAAACTAACATGACATTGTAAACCGACTATACTTCTATTTTTCACAAAAGGCTACCTTTAACAATTACCCTTAATCTGATGCCTGTACTTTATTTAGGGGTATTAGACATTTTAAAGGTGCTCACTGAACATCATACAAATCCTTACACAGTCGAATCATTTTAAATTTCTACCTAAGTCTGGTCAGTTTCTGACTGTCCTCACCTAGGGAAGAAGACAACTGTAAAAGGTAATCATTTTTTTTTCTCACATTTACTACAAAGATAATAATCAATAAGATTGTATCTATTGTGTAACTTCACATTCTTTTTGAAGGTTGGTCTATGTTATGAATAAGTAACATAACACAAGTATAATGGATATTTTATTTAGTTCGAGAGCCCAAAAGGAGCCTGACCACAATAAAAGTGGGGGGGCCGGAAGAGCTGTGCGGCACGGTGACTTCCAGGAAGAAAAGGGCTTAGTGCTTTTCCATTCAAGACATTTTACAGCTATTTCTTTTGTGTGGGAGAAACTTTAGGAGACACAGACAGAGAATAGTGGTCGAGTGGAAACTATCACTCAAGCTCATAGTGTCCGACTCTGAGGCTCAGACCATAAGCCATCCCTCTCCCCTGTCATTCCCCTGGTGTCATGTGGCTGCAGGAGAGATTTTGTTTTCTAAGAGAAACTGGCATTTTCTTCCACAAAGTAGAAGGAACAGCTGAGGCAGCAGCTCGCCCCGCTGAGCTGAGGAAGGTGTGAGCGCCGGGCTGGCCGTCCTGCGGAAACACACCTGGTGTCCCCGGAGACCGAGCCCCACCGTGTACTCACCCTCGGGTCCTTCTGGAGCAGAGTGTGTGGGACTGTCCCAGGTCGGGCAGCAACATCGATAGGGTTGGACGTCTACAAAGTAATTAGACCACAGCTTAGGAAGCATATATAACAGGAGATATGAAAGGGAGATCTTTCATTCTCCAATTACAGAGCTTACACAGCGCTTGTTTGTTTCATTCTGGAATACAAGATCACACGTTTGTCATGAGGACCTCGCTCCCTATTTTCCCAAGGGACCCTGACCAGAGCCTGCCCTCTCCAGCAATGGCATCCATCTGCCGGGAGGCGACCGAGCCACGTTACAGTGCCATCAAAAGCACGGGACGGGAAAAGACAGGCAGGATGTACATGCAAATGCTGCCCCGAAATCCATCTTCTTGAGTCCCTGACAGCCCTGTCATTGTTTTTTTTTTTCGCTTTATCACCAGATATTCCAAGCAAGGCTTAAGTGAGCATCATCATAATGTGCTATCTCAGGTGCTTCTCATCAGAACAACTGAAAGTGTTTTACAGACATTAAGCTAACTCTCTAGACTGTAACTGGCAGGCGACAGCAAGGAATTACACTAATTACTCATTAGCGGTGGTGGGAATGGGACAAGAGTACCTAATTTGGGGACCACACAGATCTCCTGTTCAATGATGTCTGAATGGTGCCTGCTTTTTTGTTCCCATTCCCAATGCTGTTCTTAAATACCATTAATAACAACAACCTTATCTGTAGGCTTCTGTCCTTTGAATTAAAAACAACAACAAGCCTACTGCAGGCCCACGCAGTCACTACTTTCCAGTGGGGAAAGGATTTAGGATATTTTTCACCAGGTATTTTATTTAAGAACCCCCTCCACCAGGAAGTTAACTCGTGTGGAAAAAGAGCCCGAGTTTAGGCACCAAGCTTGCCTGCAAGGAGAAGGGGGAGAAAGAATGGAAGAAAGAAAAGCAATCAGCTGCTGTACAACTAACAATTAAGCTGGAGTTGTTAACAGCCTGATTTGCATACATATGAAGAACCCCACTAATGAACTGCAATCTACATATTCAATCAGTAAGATGGCCTGGAAAGGCCTATTTCAACACCAGGAGAGACACTCGCTTGCCCAGATGTAGTTTTCGGTGTGACTGGATAATTGTGAGTGAGGGAAATAGTCTAATTTATTAAATGACCTACCAGACTGGTTGGGGACGCACTAGAGATTTGTTTCGACCTAGAGGGGACAGATCGGGGTCTAAGAGGGGAGTGAAGAGCTGATCAGTGGGGAAGGAGTTTAAAAATCACCATCACTGTACCCCAAGATGGGAGGGGTCAAGCACAACCATCGTACAAGCCATGTGTGTACTGAACCTGGCACAGAAGCTGCAATTCCACACAGGTCCACGTGGTTTCTAAGGTGCAGCCATCCCACCTCTAATGCTTTTCAGTTTCTTTTCCCTTTTCTAGTTTTAGGGCAGCATGCCTTCATGAGTGCGGTGTGTGTGCTCATCCTGGGAGACCCTGGCCCCAAATTCGTGTTTTATCTTTGAAATGACGTGGAAAAAAAAGAAAACCAAAATCACACACAGCAAAATTTCCTGCTTTACGATCTGAGAATGGTTACTAACATGAGAAATACCTTTTTCTTTTCTTTTGGTATGAAAATAAAGCAGGGGCTGTGACAGACTGAAAGCCACAAAAAAGGCAGTGTGTTCTGAGAATGGCCTCCTCGATGCTGGCCCTGAGAGCTCCCGCCCAAGTGGAGGAGAGTCTCCTGCTGGCTAGGCAGAGGAGAACGCAGCTCTTATAAAGGGGAAAGGTTACTTTATTTCACACTGGGATGCCAGCCTTGGCCTTGGCAAGCGTGACCACACAAGCAGGGCGGGAGGCCAGGGAGGAGGCAGACTATTTGCCAGCAGATGGGGCTGGGGAACAAAGTGGGGGAGAATGAACACAATTCAAAGGATATAACTTTAGTCTGGAAACGTCTCCCTCCCTTCTAGTAGAATCAGTTAAGGCTCAGCTTCTACACACCTTGTGTACGATGCTGATCACACACACCTCAGGGACAACCTGGCGCACAGATACGTGCATTTCACAGAATTCCCGAGCAGAGATTTCCGTACACCATATTGGTGGGAAAAATGTATTCTGCCTGTTGTACAGAGCACGGGAAATCCTAGGCTGCGTGGGCAGTACAGACTGAAAATTAAATTCTGGCTGAGGTTTGAAACTAGATGGACAGCCTAGTCCCGATGGTCACCCTGCATGGGGAGAATGAGTCACTGGCAGACGACAGGACGCGGAGGCTACCCGCTCGCCCAGCCCGAGGCTCCACTCACAAGTGCGCCTGTGTGTTTTCGTTGTAAGGTCTCTTACCTTCGGCTGAAATGCTCCTTGCAGTGAACCGAAAGGGCCAGTGGGCGGAATCATAGGGGGAATGCCCGATACGGCAGGAGGATAAGAATGGAAGAGCTGTGGCCAGAGACGGAGAGGGGAGAAAAGACTTTAGTAGGAGGCAAGTGATACATTCACATCCCCTTCCCCACAGAAAGACATCGACATCAGCAAGCCAAGTGATCTCAGTGTGGTGCCGTTAGTCAGGAAGCCACGGCGAAATGACCACACAGATGTGCCATGAATACTTAACTTAAAAAGTTAAAAGTGGTTCAGAATCAATCAGCCAACAAATGACGTCCCAGATGAGGACATCATTAGAAAGGGAGCTTTTCTAATTATTAATTGTTAAATCGGATAAAGTCTTAAATGGTTGGAGATTTTAATGCATATCAAAATCAGGAGGGGTGCTGAGCCAAAGAAGATGCCCAGAAAATTACAAGTTAATTAGAAAAAGGAAAAAAAAAGGGAAGAAAAAGAAGCAAGTCTTTATGGGTTCCAGGACTTTATACCATTAAAACTCAATTAGTACTTCTAGATTTTTAATAGTATTGAGGAAATGAGAAAATATTCACAGTCCTTGCTTCATTAGGTTGTTCTGGTAAGTGGCAGTTCCCGAGGACAATTTAATGGTCTAAAATGATGACAGATATTTGTGGAAGGGGAAGTAAAATAACTCCGCGTGTTCCTTCCGTGGAGCCGCCCACTTTTCTGTAAGATGGACAAGCTCACTGGAGGCTCCTCGAGCCAAACCCTTGATGTGTCAGTTTGACCAGTCAGTGGAGGGAGAAGAATGATTCTGAATTAAAAATATGAATGGTCTTGTATTAACAGTCTACAGAGGACACAATGGAGAAAAGAAACACACAGCAGTACTGGACAATGCAGACGCGTCTTTTCCTCCTTCTAAAAATGTACTGTCTCTGAGATGCTATTGCTCTGGTTCCGTTTACTTTGAAAGAAAAAGAACCACCATACAGATGTTTTAGCAACATCCCACCTGTGTGGTTACATAGCCGAAAATAATAATAATAATTCAAGCTCTTCCTAATAATGCACTTATGTGAGCTATTTCCAGGTAGTGGCTGAAATCCACATTTCACAATCCTGTCTGTTTTCAGAGCACGTACTTTTCCTGTTGGTCTTTATTTCATTTTGCTCCCTTCAACGATGCAGCAAAGTTTTTCAGACTAATTGATATTGAAGTAAATCCACTTAAACAGTGATTGCAAACCAAGTGCCCTCATTTAAAACTACTTTTAAGTCTAAAATTGTGTTTCAGCTACTTGAGTGCATTGTATCTTAATCCCCCTTATAACATCTAATCCCCAAAGCAGGGGAGACTGAGTATTTCATATATTACTAGTTATAATTATAACTAATAACATGAAATAACTCTCCCCCAGTACACTGTGTGAAGCAGAGGCATGTAATACAGCACACTGAAACACACTCAAATTTCTATTACTCTGCCTCCAGGTGGGTATTGTTTCGTTAATGTTTTCAATAAAAAATTGTATATCCTCACCATTTTCCTTTTGCTTTAGTCCATCACTGACCCTCTCAGGACACAGCTGACTATTCCACCCATTGATTCAGAATCTGAAGTACCTAACTAATAAAACATGAGCCTTCCAAAGATTCAGGTCTCCAAGTTTATATCTAGGACTTATATCTAGGACTTATAGATATATAGTCCGTCTTATATCTAGGACTCTCCGGGGAGTATTGCATATGAGAAGACACTGCACTGGGTCCTGGGAAGTAAACTAGATAATTAAATAAATTATATAAGTAAAATAAATAATTAGAGCTACTCTGTAGGGCAGCTAAACTTTCTCTAAGAATGATTTTGTTAGCTGGTCTCTAATTTAAATTACCAAGTATAGACAAAGGGCAGAAACCTGGTGATTATTAAGGATGGTGCCATCCATGGGACAGACCCCAAGAGAAAACCCATAGCTCTACTGGGTTTTGCATATCCATTCAAAAAATGCTCCTGTATCCCAGTTCTAAGCAGAACAGTGCTGGACACCTCGGGGCCCAGGGACTCAGATACTTTCCTCAGGCCATTGCTGAATGTCTCTCAAAAAAGTAATTTTTAATGGATTTCCAGTATTTTCTAGTCTTGACTTCTCAGCTTAGGACTAACAGTGTCTAATTATCTAGTTCAAAGTGTGGATGAACTCACAGGCTTGGCTGATCTATTAAGTAGCACTTGTATTTGAATGTTAAGTTAACAACTGTCCAAAAACCAAACCAAGAATAGTTCAGTATGGTGAAGCAACATGGCTACAAGCAGTTATTAAACTTCCTTCTCTCTGGTTTAATTTTTTAAAATACAAATAGACCACCAAGCAGAGAAACTTGCAAACTTTCAGGTAAAAATGATGCAGTATTCACTCCATAATCAAAATATCATGGTAAGACAATCAAGGTGTTTGAAGAAGCCCTTGTCTTGTAATTGAATATGTAACTTAGATTGGTACCAAGTTAGGTTCCAGTACCTACTTTTAAAATTGCATGAAACAAGTAATATTTTTAACAAAAAAGAGTGAGTTTAAAGAGAAAAAAAAATCATGCCTTTCAATTTTAAGATCTGTTTTTAATGTAAATGCTGTTTTTATCTGCGTTGTAACAAGCTCAGGAGACCATTACCAGCCATGTGGACGAGGGATCTACAGTCAGCCTGGAAGTGAAAATCATGCCCTTTGAAGAGGCATGAATGAAAAACATAAGGTACTTTGTTTGGAGGAAATAATTCAAGTTGAATTCTAGGAATTCTGTGTGAATGACATTTTGGCCGACGCCTGAAATGTGGGATTTCAGTCTCCTGAAGCTTTACTGATTTGACTGTGAATGCCGCCCCAGGCAGGACGGATGCTGGCTGCCACGCAGTATACCCGTCTTGGGTGTGCCTATGATCTTTTGATTCAGAAGATGATACTGCATCTTTACCAAAAGCGAACGTCACAAAAGCAAGCATCCGAAGTGACGAGCAGCAATGGGAACTCTTGCAAAGATGATTAGGGAAGGCTGCGAGTCATTTACTGATCTGTGGCAAGAGCACACGAATGGAAAAGCGGTTACATTGAATGGGTAGCATGGTAACGAGACTCACACTGTGCCGGTAGAATGGGTCAACTTTTGTAGGGTATTTGTCAAACTGTAAAGGGATCAAAGCAAAAGCTAGTTACTTAAAGAATCTACATTTCTGTTCGCTGCTTCGGCGGAGGTGGCCCTATGCCAGCCTCTCGGCCGTGATGCTGTCCTCAGACTCCACGACCTCACCATGTACAAAACCAGTCTGCGCTCCTGAGTCACTGTGACGAGAAAGCAACACTAATAGAAACTCCGAGCGAAAACCCATTCAGTGCATTTAGGTTGTGACCACACTGGAGCGTCTTTCTGTTTGGTCTATATTTAGAGACTGGCACAAACCCAACAATCAGACCGGAAGAAAGAGGCAACTGTTTGGATAAATCAGAGATGAGTGAGCGCTGGGTCTGATTTACCCAGAGAAGTCCCTCCATTTTCGCCTTCACTTTGGCAGAACTGAGCATTCAGCTAATGACCGGAATGTAGCACCCCCAGCACAAATCTGAGCCAGGTCCTCGCACCCTTCTTTCCAGCAGAAAAGAGCGTATCACTGTTTTTCCTAAATATTGTCATCATCCTGGTGCCAGAGCTCCCCTCAGTTAGATTAAATATATTTGAGAAACAGCTCACTCAGGCTATATAAACTCTTTCCCCAAATAACAGGTCCTTAGAAATACAATTGTTGAGAAGTATAGGTCATCCACAATAAAAGGGACGGGATTTATCACAGGAAAAAAAATGTGGGCCCAAGGCCTCATCTCTAATATTCTTCTAAATAAAACTTATAAAATAAACTTCCAAAAAATATATATTTAAAAAAATTAAGTTGAACAAAATGGGGGAGGCAGAGGGAGGAGAGGATGGGAAGTTTGGTGAATCATGGAATTGAAATCTACCCCCACAATGCCCAGATTAATTGCCTCAAAATCAAGTATTTCCTGAAATGTTAAAAATTACCTAAGTAAAACACTCTCATAGTCACTGTTACGGACAGGAATCTATCTCAGAATAATCAGCATCCTAACATGGTACCATTTCCTATCGTTCCTAAGTTAAAAAAAAATTCCTAACTGGTCCTCCCGGCATGTACTAGCTAGCCCCCGGTTGAGACCAAGACCACGTCACTGCCAGCGGTCCCTCTTACCACAAGCCTGAGTTTGGACCCCGCACGGCACATGGTTCCCTGACCACCTGCTGACGGAGCACAACAGCAGACTGGGGAGGGGAGCTGTCTTATGAAACATGAGAAACATAACACCTCTAACAAAGCGGGTTTAGGAAACCATGGGAAAGAGCCGGGATACCCCGTGCAGTCCAAGTGTGCCGACAGCTCTCTCCCCTCCTCGGCCCTCCTCCAGACACCTGGTGTTCTGTGAGCATTCACTTGCTAGTGCAAAACACTGACAGAGACATTTTAATATCTGGTAGCAATCCCCCAGGATGCTCAAGAGCACAAAAATCACCCTTAGGAAGTTAACTACTGACACTGGATGTGACCTTTTGGAGGGCCTCTAGAAGGAAATCCACCGACAGTGCCAGAAATGACGGCCTAGAAGAGCTCCTACTTCAGGCCCGGGGTCAGGGCTGCCTGGAGCCGGGGGAACCCGCTTCTCTCCAGCAAAGTCGGGCAAGGCCGAGGGCCCCCGAGCCAGCTCCCACCCACCGTCTGCATACGAGGAGTCGGGCTCTACTTATCCTCACATTTCTGCCTGGGGTACGCACCATGGGCGGTGCTGGCGTCGGCATGATGGCGGTGGGCGGGAGGGCGTGGGGGAAGGGCGTGAAGGTGTGCTGGTGCGTGTGCTGGTGCGTGTGCTGGTGCTGGTGCTGGTGCTGGTGGAACTCGGTCCGCAGGTAGGGCGGGGGGCCCAGGGAGGCCCCACGGTCAGCACTCTGAGAGGCCAAGAAACGCGTGTTCAGCTCCTGGCGCAAGATGTCTTGCTCTGGAAGAGAAGAAAGGGGAGAGGGTGACGCCTTTTCCTGGGATGGGAGTTTCCTTCCGAAGGGGACATCTGAGTCGCTGACAACGGAGGGCTGCCGGCCGAGGGCACAGGAGCCGGGGCTCTCAGGTACAGCCTGCCCCGTAGGCGGAAAGGAACAACCAGCCGGGCAGAGGGCACCAAGGCCCAGGCCCAATCTAACGGTCTCTGTCCAGCCTCTCGGCTTCCAGGGACAGGTGGTCCAGCAGTGCGCTGTGTGGACAGAACCCAGGCTGAACGGCCAGAGGTCAAATTTCAGCTCTTCTACTGGCAGCCAAGTGGCCCTGGGCCTGGCAGAGCACCTGTCTGTGTCTTGGTTTCCCCACTATCATTTGGGGATGAAAAGATTGCCTGTGCTGTGGGTTACTTTTGAGGGTTAAAGAAATGAACCTGTGTAAGTACTTAAGGACAGTGACAAGCTCACTGTCACCACTTTTATTATTTTTAGTAATGAAAGTGAGCTGTTAACATGGCAGAGCCCTCGGGCCCTCTTCCAGGGTAAACCTCGATTTTACAGCTCTCTGTGTTAGTGGTAAAACTCGGCCATGAAGGACCTGAAGCTGGGACCCTTGGCCTGATTCAAACAGGTGAGGAGAAAAGGGCCCAATACCTAACGCTGGGTCTGTCCTGAAAAATCTAGGATGCGTCGCCACAGAAGTGCATCTTTTTCACCCAGACAGAAGGCCTTACTCAACTAAAGCAAACCCCTTAAACCAGGGCACGATTTAAGGTTCTGGCATGAAACAGACACGGGATGTGGAGAGCTTCTGTCCCTCTAACGCGAGCCCAGATGACGGTACAGACGATCCGCGTTTTCCTGCACAGCAGGAAGGCGGGGAACGTCTCCTGACATGAACGACAGGTGCTCTCGGGCAGTGTCTGAGTCCCAGATTGTGCGCGGTGGGGACGGGTGTGGGGACCTATTTGCTGGATCTCAGCCCACTAAGGACTGGGGGACGATTCCAAGAATATACACAATAAAGCAGAACATCACTAGGTAAAACCTAGGCACCAGGGGCCTTGGGCAAGGGAGAGGGGAGAGGGAAGAAGGGAGAGGCAAGGCCAGCGCCTCCGTCCTACCTGAGTAAGTGCTCCCGGCCGGGTGTCCGGGCACCTGCAGACTCCCTGATGTCAGAGGTGGTGGAGGAGGCAAAGCAGTGGGAGGGGCAAACATATTGGGGTGATGTGAGTGTGCAGGGGGCTGGAGGGTGGGTGTGAAGCTGTGCAGGGGGCTGTGGTTGGGCAGTGACAGGGGGAACGGGGAGGCTGAGGGGTGGTGGGAGATGTGAGGGGGCGCGGGTTGAGTCTTCGCTGGAGTGCTGCTTCTGCTACTGCTGTTGGAATACCAAAGTAAAAAATAAAGGGAAGAAAGGAAAAAAAGAGAGGTAAGCAATTAATTTTCTTTAAAAAAAATCCTATCTCCTAAAGCCATTCCACACTTTTTCTCTTGCTCCTTCCTCTTCACAGGTCCTCCCTCGAGCACACAGTAGCCTCTGCTGAAATCACAGCTCCTCTAAACTCCCGCCATGACTGCAGACACAGCGGAACAGGAACTGCCGCCCCAGGGCTGCTGCCCACCGGTGTCCAGACAGCTGAGTCTGCCGAAAACTCCGCTCTGCTCTCCCTGCTGCCCCTAGAACATCCTGGCCCCCTATCCTGCACTTGCCACGTTTCCTGTAAAGCTGTAACACTGGCAGAAAAGAGTAAGAATGATGACCTGGGTTCGCCCCGTCTGCTGCCTCTTCAGGGAAGAAGCACAGGGAAGGGGGCGCCAGGGAGCTGGTGCCCGTCTCCTCTCTGGTCCGGAGACCACAGAGCCGGCCTGGGGCAGAAGATGGGCCTGGCCCCCAAGAAGGCAGTTCCTTCCCCTGTCGCAGACAGGAGAAAGCAAGGCCCTGGACGGCCAGTCACCAGGCTGTCACAGGAAAACCACACCAAAGCCAACAAGTGCGAGGGCTTAGAATGACAACCCCGGGACAAGCAGGGGCGTGCGTCATGGGCCCCGGGCCCCGGGCCCCGGCTTCCTCTCTCCCTTTCTTTGCAGGTCTCCTTGTGCTGCTTCCTAAACTGCCCTCGGCAATCCGGCAGAGACAGCCCAGAGGCGGGCCTGGGCTCCATGCAGGAACTCCTCTCTTCTCTAAACCCAGCGTGTTTCTGCTCTCCCTCTGTCACCCACCGGGAGGCAGTAAATCACAACAGAGACGCCTCAAACCAGGATACTCCTCGGTCCCAACCTTCCCGCCTCTGGAGTTGCAGGGATGTGACTGGGAGGCAAACTGCTTCCCTTCTAAGACTCTGAACATTTGATGACCTCCCCCTCTGGTTTCTGTTCCCTGCCTCTCACCAGGGAAGGTGGGGCTCCCGGGAACAGCGCCTTCAGCTCTCCCTCTGGAGCCTCCTTCCCCTTCCTGCCTTCACTCTCTCAGGAGCCTCTGTATATAGTTTAGTTCTTTACAATGTCCTCTCTACCCAACCCATTCAACCCACCCCACCCCACCCTTCTCCCAAGAGACACTCTCACCTGTCTCCCAGACCCCTTCCCCGTCTTCTGTCCCTGCCTCACCGAGAACACACTGACAATGTTGCCAGTGGGGAAACCCAGTTCCTCTGGGATCTCATCCCCCTGCCACCTGCCTGTCGCAGAGAAGATGGCTCTAAGAGCCAGGACAGGGAGCAGGCGGCTCACCTGAGGCTGTTGAGGCTCAGGCTGCTGCT